AGTTGGGAAAGGGAGGGGCGGGGCTTAGCCGCCATGTTGAGCGTGGCAGGTTGTGCAATGCAGGCAGCTGGGCTGGTGCTGCAGTGGGTTTCCAGCTGTTTCAGCGCATCCCGCTCGCTTTGGGGGGCAGAGGCAATTCCTTGCAAGCATCAACACTGTATGTGCACCCTCCCTCCCCCCCACTGCTGCAGCACCTTGTTGGGGAATGACACACACCAGGATCCCCTGCGGTTGCAAAGCTTCCCCATCCCCAACCCTGGAGATGCTCTGGAGCTGCTCCTAATTGCTGTCAAAATGGGCCCACCCCATGTTTGAAGTGGGGTAGTGCCCAGACCAGTTTCTCCACGAGAGTCCCCCCCCGTGGTGAAGATTTGGGAGCGACCCAAAAAGGATTTTGCCCCCAAATCCCTGCCCAAACTCATGGCCGTGACCTTAGTGCAAGGCCTGGGGGGCTGGCGCTTGGCAGGCTGGCGTGTTGACGTGTACTTTGGGTCGGGCAGCGCCCGGTCTCCTTCTCCGTGGCGGAGGTGTGCGTTTTGGGTGGCCCCCATGCAGCTTTTGTCCAGGCATCCCAGCCTCATCTCCACTCTTTACCCAGAGCAACGGACTCGTTCGGTGCTACGGCCTACCGTTTGTATCGGCAAACACAATCTTTTCTCCCGTGCCTGACGAAGGATGTTGGTGCCCGAAAGCTTGCAGGGAAAGAATTTTTTTTGCAAAAATCTAGTTGGCCCAGCAGCGCAGGGGCCATCTCACCCTCTCCCCTACGCACGGCTGGGCATCGCCACTGCTGCCTGCGAGCCCTGATAGTTTTTGTTAGCAAACATAACATTTCTGATGACCTCCAGCCACCCACCTTCGACTGGGTAACGATTAGCTTGGGATTAAGGCCTGGGGCAAAAGGAACCCGCCAAAACACCGCCCCCCGCAAATCATCAGCTACCGGGCTCTACCCTCGTTTCCCACCACCCAGCAAAGGGTTAACCAGGGGCACGTGGCGACGCCATTACGCACGGTGAGGGGGCGGGGCTAGCCGCCGCGGGGACGTAGCGGGCGCGTTGACGTGCGGGAGACGCCGGCGCCGCCGCGGGCAGGGTCACGTGACGGAGGGGGAGTGGCGGCGCAAGATGGCGGCGCTGCGGACGGGCGGGCGGCTGGCGCAGCTGTCCCGCGGCTACCACCGCAAGGTGGTGGATCACTACGAGAACCCGCGCAACGTGGGCTCGCTCGACAAGCGCAACAAGAACGTGGGCACGGGGCTGGTGGGCGCGCCCGCCTGCGGTGACGTCATGAAGCTGCAGGTGCGCGGGGCAGGGGGGAGGGGAGCACAATACAGAAGCTCTGGATCGGGCGGGGAGCGGAAAGCAGAGCAGCAGATCGGATGAGGGGGGGCGGGAATCCTCGTCCTTCTCCACGGGTTGCTGCTTCCCCCAGTGCCTGCCTTGCTCCTCTGCGCAGCGACCCCGGGGTTACGAGGCGTGTGTCAAAGCCCCGATTTGCGAGCGCATGGCGGTCTAGCAGGCCACGTGCTCGCAGCATTGCTCCGTCGCGTTTCGAGCCTCGCGCGGGCGGCTCTTCCGGTGCCAGGTGGCATCTTTCGACCCAGCGTCATTGCCCCCTTCGCAGGTGGAAGTGGACGCCAGCGGGAAGATCGTCGATGCAAGGTTCAAAACCTTTGGCTGCGGGTCAGCAATCGCCTCGAGCTCCCTGGCCACCGAGTGGGTGAAAGGGAAGACGGTAAGACCCCCGTCGCACCCTCCGGTAGACGGGAAGCTGGGAGGGGTGGCGGGCGGACTGAGACTATCCCGTCCTTACGGGCAGTTATTCGTAGGCGTTTGTTCCTCTGTCTGGAAACGCCGAGCTCGATGGTTTTGCAAACGTGGCCGTGGCTGATGCAGAAAGAAAAAGGTGTTTTCAACCAACACCTTAAAGCGCTGCGTGAACAAGGAGAGCTCATAATCGCGCCTGTGGCCTTCCTCTCCCATCCCACCGTCCTCAGGATCACAACTTACGCCGTTCCCATATGCACTCCGATATAGGCGGTGGAGATATATCTATATCGGGATATATTTTTGCACCAAAAAAAAAAATGCATCCTGATGTACAATTGTAGGTCAGACTGTACAGGTTTTCTATAGTAATATCCAACCCAGGGGTCCCCAGTCTTTTTGGTCCTACGACCCTATTGCAGAGCCAGCCCAACTCATCCAGTCTAGTTTCTCTAGGTCTTGGCACAAAGGGAGGCTATGAACCCTAGTCTGGACATCAGTAATTTGGTCGTAACGCTGCCGCGCCTTCAGTTGCCACCCCGTGTTCACATGAAGACCTTTTGCCTAGAGCCCTGCTGTGCTGCTAGATTTCAGGAAGAGATGCCAAGTGGCTCGGTGCGAGAATATGAACTCCAATTAACATAATCATCAGCAAGGAGTTCATAACAAAAAGCTTCTTCTCCCCGTCTTCCTTGGTACCCAATCCTGACGGTTCAGCCAAAGAGCATCCCTTTAACAAATGTCTGTACGTGACAGGAGGTGGGGAACAAGCGTCGCAGCCAGAATGTAATCTTCCATTTTTGTTTCAGGTGGATGAAGCCTTGGAGATAAGAAATACAGATATTGCTAAGGAGCTCTGCCTTCCTCCAGTTAAACTGCACTGCTCTAGTAAGTTGTCAGTACAGACTTAAGTTTTAAGATGTAACAGCTAAACCCAGCTGCCTGCCGTAGATCAGGAAGACATTTTCTTCTGCTTTTGTCATGCTTCTCAAGATCCTTTGAATTGAGACCAGTCGCTGAGGTGCTTTAAAATGCATCTCTCTCTCAAATATTCTGTTAATCTGATCAGGTTTGGGTGAAAAGCAGAAGCAGGCATGCTTGGGTGCGTAAGCCTTGTTTACAAAAAAAGCTTGAAAGCTCTTCATCTTTCTCTTTCAGTGTTGGCTGAAGATGCCATCAAGGCAGCCCTGGCCGATTACAAGCTAAAACAAGATCCTAACAAGGAAGAGCCTGAGAAGAAAGCAGCCAGTACCTAGAACTGTGATGAAAGCTTATTCTCATTAATATTGCAGTGCAATTAGTTTAGGTGTTTAGAGAAGGGAGCCAGTGCACTACCAATCTGAAGCCGTCAGGTACACCCAATATACGCACAATGTTTCACTGTTCGCCTGTATTAAACCACCTTTGTAGCGCACAAATCATTGGTATCCTTGAGCTTATTTCTACACCGATTACCGTCCTATCGGTTTCTCCTGGAAGTGTCTAGGTGAGGAGGGGAAGCACTTACTCAAGTCATATGTCATTCCCAGCAGTGAAAATCCTAGTGTTTGGAAGGGCTGCATTTCATTCAGTAAATGTATAGTTTTTTTCTGAGAGTTTTATAGAAGAGGATTATTTGAAAGCGTGTTGCCTTGTCTTAATGTTTATGCAAAAAAAATGCAGATCAGTTTTATTTTGTGTACAACATATGCAATATATTAAACAGCCTGTGGCAGTTCATCTGCCTGGTACAACTGGTTTGGAAGTCTTTCATTTCACGTCTCTTGTCCTCCCTACAAGTACACGCCTCACCCCCTCCCTATATCTCATTTCCTGGCACCTCAGGATATGTCTAGAGCAGTGGTTTGCTTTTTAGTCTAGGCATCCCTCTGAAAATGCTACCTCTTTTATTTCTACTTGTTTTTTGGTGACAAAAAAATACTAGAGCAATTTTTCTGTTGCAGAGAACTCAGAAAGACCACAACAGGTCAGGCTGTCTTTAACAATTAATTCCTTTTTGAAATCTCTAGGTTTATCTTATAAATCATATTTGCCAAAATAACAGTGCTGACATTATGTGGTACCCTGCAGCACCCTTGAAAGGATCTCAAGGCACGCTGGTTGAGAATCGCTGGTCTAGAGGCTTGCCAGTCTCTCTTATTGACCCAACTATATAGATGGGAGACATGTTAAGCTACTGGAGCACAACTCACTCTTCACCCCTTGTGTGAAGTCTGATAACCCTAAACTAGCTTGTAACCACAATAACGACCGCTAGAGGTCAGTGAAAAATAGCTAAGTAGGGAAACTGGCCATATCGGCTTGCCAATTCGAGTGCTACTTTTGGCTGAAACATAGGTGCCTGAATTGTACCAGGTTATCAGATGCGGGGAAATGGAGTTCTGCTAAAACAAGTTGCAGGGCAAGCCTGTGGTGGACCCAATTATTCACTGAGTCTAACTGAGTTGCCATGTTTCTGTTCAGGCCAGAACCAATAATCCCCAAACATTCCTTATCTAAATATAGGATGTAAACCAAACGCTATTTTCTTGTTTCCTGCACTTAACATTCTTGAAGGCTGTAACATCTAGTTGAAAACATACCAGGTTTTGAAAGAAATCCACACACAAGACTATCTGGAAGGATTTCTTTTTTTTACTGCTTTTCTCCTCAAATAGCAATGTGCTCATCCTTACATTTGCTGTTTGGATGCTAACATAGGGTGTGTCCAAGCAAGTGCAGCTGTGTGGTATGTCTGCGGTGCCACACACTGCACATTCAGGTGTTCTCTGTGCTGCAGAGTAGCAGTGGCAGGGTTTTTTTTGATCCTGGGGTCAAAATGAACTGCATGAAAAAAAAGCCAGGCAGTGCATGCCGCCCAAAATGAGTGGCTCTGGCCGGGCTCTGAGCAACAGGATCACCACAACTGCAGCTCCCCAAGGACCCCAGGTAAGGGTGCTGGGGCCAGCACAGTTGCTGGCCCCAGCCTCCCCTACCGCACTTAGGTAATGTGCTGCATGCCAGAGGACACATGGCAGGGGCATTCCTAGGGACAAGTAGCAGTGGCACAAGGTGTGCTGCTGCTTGTCCCTGGGGAAACAAATGTCCATGCTCATCTGGACATGACCATAACGAGCAAAAATACACTATAAAAGCTTGGCTGTACAAGTGCTATAACCAGATGCTGCTCATACACAGAGGCCTCCAGAAGCTTAGCTTTAAATTACCCTTCCTGCTGTAACAGATGTGGACAGCTGGATGCAGAAAGACCAGACTACTTAAGTTACCAAGGAGCTCAAGTTATGGGACAGGATCCCGCTCCACCAAGCACTGTGCAAACACAGATAAGCTTCCTGGCCCAAGTTGCTCACCGTCCAGCTATAAGAAGAGTGTATAGAATCAAAATTGAAGGAAAAATATTAATGCCCCATTGTTCTCCTTGTTCACTTTTTTGTACCCATGGCAGCAAATGAGTCCTACGAGGAAGACTCTTTCCTGCCCACATGCAGGGGGTCTGGACCCGATGATCTGTAAGGTCCCTTCTAGCCCCTGACAACAATGAAACTAAGCAGTACCCCTCACTGCACATGGATGTTTGGAGATAACTATAAGACACGTGGAGTGTTTGTGCAATAGAAAAAAAAACCCATAATAAAGTTAATTGTCTCCAGAAAAGAGACTGCTTGTGGAAAATACAGCCTAAGGGCCAGGCTTTGAACCAGGATCAAACAAAGTCCTGAAGAGCTGCTTGTATATGAGCATGGTCTGTCTTAGGCACGGTAAGGCAGGGGATCGTTGTAAAG